GCCTTCTGCCTGGCGGCCAGGTCTCCTTCCTTTCTCCATTTAAGCCTCTAATCATGCTCCTCCCAAGTTAACGATCATAACTTGTCGTTATTCTATTAATTCTGCCTTGAATCTTGTCTGTCTTCTCCTTTCAAAAGCACCCGTCTCTGTCTTGATGGCCGCTGTACCCCTCAGGCCTGGCGCACGGTGGGAGCCCACACAAGTTCTTGAAATGACGGAGGAGAAACAGCAGCCGAGACACTAGCATTGAGGTCGCAGCGAGGAGAGGGAGGGGCAGGGCGGACCCCAGGCTACGGTCTGAGGCGGGACGTGGGGGCGGGTTCTGGGCGGGGTCTCGTGGCTTTGGGGCGGGGCTTCAGGGCTGCGGAGAAGCCGGGCTGACCGCACTGCTCAGGCTTTGCTGGTAGATCTCCTCCGGCGCCAGGCCCTCTGGCTTCCAGCCCGCGCCGCCGTTAGGGGGCGCCCGCGCTCGTGGCGCCGCGGTTCTGCTGGGAAGGCACCGCCCGCGCCGGGCTGCTGGGGCCGCAACTCCGGGCGCGCACTCAGTTGTCCCCTCTGCCGCCGCTGCTGCCGCCGCCGCCGTCGGGCGCGGGCTCGCTTGTCCCCGCGCTCGCGCTCTCCGGCCGCCGGCATCTCCCGGCCCGGCCGCCGCCGCCGCCGCGCTGTGAGTGGGACGGGCGCGGGGTTTGCGGGTCCAGGGCGCGGAAGGGCCGGGCTTAAGGACGAGCCCGCGCGGAACAACTAGGGGAGCCGGGCTGAGGAGGATCAGGGCGGGGGCTCTCTCAGAGGACCGCGGGGAGCCGGAGCCGCGTGTCCCGGGGTTGGCACGAGCCTGCGGTGGGGGTGCCCACGGCCAGGCCTGGGCGGGGTTTTCGGGGCCCGCCCGGCGAGGACGCGCGCTTTCGGCCGGCCCGGGTTCGGGGCTCCGGTGCGCGTCCCCCGCCCGGCCCCGGAGCATCGCTTGCCCTACGGCGAGGCGGGTCAGGTTGGGGGCTTAGCTTGCGGGGCAACAGCTAAGCACAGCCGGGACGGAGACACTCGGGGTTTGCTCGAAAATGATTGTTTCTGGGGGTGGTGCTTATTAGCCATTGCTTGCCCTAGTTTAAAGCATAAGACAGGTCTCAAAAGCCCTGCCTTTAGGATTTTCTGCTCTGAAGAGACACTCAGATTGCAGCTGAGTTCTTTATGTTTAGATTTGTGTATGTCGTGAGATTTTTAATGCTTGATGTCAGAGGTGATAAATGGCCGTGGTAATGGGGCGCCCCTGCAGCACCTGCTGGGCTGACTGGTGGAGTCTGTGTCGGGGGATGGGGCGGGACAGGGAAATGAAATGTGACAGAGATCCTGTTTGGATATTCTGCTGAAGTTATCATGTTTCTGTTCAGGTATACCAGTTCTAGAGCAAGTTGATAAATCCAATTTTAGGACTTTGTGTTAGAAGAACTTTGGGTGGCAAAGTGACCCGGGATGACCTGGTTTGGCTAAGAATGTTGGGGGTAGTCTGTATATCTCTTTCCATATCCCTCTGGCTTGTTCATTTTTTTTTTTTTGCCGTCACAAATGCCCTAGTACTCGAATCATCTTGGGATAGGAAAGAAGCTCGGGACAACATTTAGTACAGGCCTGAGCCCAATACTGAGATGTTTTCAAATGGACAAATATATAGCTAGGCAGAGGAAAATAATTTTGTCAGCAGAGTTCGTAGGTTGTGAGAATTTCCACTTTGATTGAAAACCATCAGTCATTACTCATACTAGGTTTTGCATAATGCCTTAGATGGGAAGTATGGAGAGTGGTCAAGATAGCCATAGATGCCATTTCAAAGTTTTGTAATTTGAATTTTCATAAATCGTACTTAAACCAAAGCATTACTACATGGAGGAATCCTAGGGTAAACTCTATGACTCTCTCAGTGTGTGTTGGATTCTGATATTTGGGATGTATTTATTTGGATTCAGCCTTACCTTGGAGATAATCCTGAGTCATGCTTTAAAGAAATTCCTTCTGAGATCTAGAGCTCAGATGTCTGGACACACCCCCTTACCTGTGTGTAGTTCCCCTTTTGGAGCTCTGGAGAGATTAGAAGCAAATTAAGAGGGCTCTTCTCCATATTTGCCTTGTGTCCATGCTGATGCTCTAAAGTACCTGTATTCACACTCTCAAGTTTCTCAATTTACCACAGAAATTTTGTTTATGTTACTGCCACTACTATTTTCACATTTGTATAATATTTGCCAGTTTACAGATGGTTTTATATTCATGATCTTATTTTCTCCATTTCCCCAAAGAATAAGCTGGGCATAAAGAATGAATTTTCTCAAGATCTCATAATTAGTAACAGACCAGAATTGAGAACTGGGATACAGCCGTCCCTCCCCCCCACCCCAAGTTCTTTTTCCTTGTTTTGATCTGTTACCTTTTATGTTGTGCCTAACTAGTGTAATTACTTTGGGGAAGGTGGTATTACCAGGTTTTATCTCATGGAGACTGATGGTTAAAAGGAATTTTATAATACTAATGATTATAAGATTTTAGGATTTTATGAGGAATTTTATAATACTACAGAGCTGACTATTTGTGACTGTTCTTTAGCCTTTAGCTCCTTTCTAAACCACATGGTTGAGAGACGAGAGAGAGAATATAATTACTTTAAAAAAAAGGTCCATTTCTGCAGCGGTTTTGTTAAGGATAATTTAACACTATAATCACATTATCCTTGTATGCCTGGTTACTTGTGCTGGCCTGTATGTGAATGTTAACCCGAAAGACTCCTTTAGATGTTGCTGAACTAGTTACTATAAAAAGTATTTCACTTTCAAACTCCCACGTTTCAAGAAGAGGAAAATCTCAGTACAAAGGCAAATTTGAAGGTAAGTATAGATGGGGGAAATTTATTGAGCCTTCTGAATGCCAGACACAAAGGTTTCAGTAGAAAAACTTTTTAAAGGGCTACCTGGAAACTCTGGGACGGCGTAGTTATAGGTTTGAAGGTTTTTATTGCAGTGTACAGGTTGTTGTGTAGGGGTAGGTCTTTTCCCCCTGGGGAAGTTCTAGTCTGTTGCAAAAGTGATAAACCAGCAATGTATGTGTTAAGTTAGTTCATCATAAGTATAAAGTCTAATTGCAATTCTGTAGTAGTGAGGAGAGTGGCATTTAGGGGTTCTTGGGTGTTTTTAGTTCGGAGCTGGCGGGTCCGAACCCAGCCCGGGACTGTCAAACAACAGTGACATCTACAACCAAAAAATACCTGGGGGTTGTGACGGGCACCTGTAATCCTAGCTACTTGAGAGGCTGAGGCAAGAGAATTGCTTAAGCCCAAGAGTTTGAGGTTGCTGTGAGCTGTGATGCCACTGCACTCTACCGAGGGTGACATAGTGAGACTCTGTCTCAAAAATAAATAAATAAAGTTATGAACTTATTGAATCATACATTCTTCAGATTTGCTACTTTAGAAAATTCATAAATTCTTTTAAGGCTTCTGTAAATTGTTCAGTATATATTTTTAACTTAGTTACTTAAGTACACTGTCGGAATTTATACATTAGTTGCAATAAACTTTGAAGCTTAAACATGGGTGAATTTTTAGTACTGTTTGATATTTTTTGGGAATGGTCATTGTTTCCACAAGAATTTTATTTGCATCAAAGGTCAGATCTTTTCAGGTGAGCTGATTTTACAGGGCCTGAAGGCTTTCTTTGAACTTTATAGTTGTTTGTGCTTGGTTGTATACACTCTTTAAAAATGATCTTTAGTAAGGAAAGTCATTATAAAGAAAAATTTTTTTCGGGTGGTGCCTGTAGCTCAAGCAGCTAAGGCACCAACCACATACACCAGAGCTGGCAGGTTGGAATCTGGCCCCAGGCCTGCCAAACAGTGACAACTACAACCAAAAAATAGCCGGGCGTTGTGGTGGACACCTGTAGTCCCAGCTACTTGGGAGGCTGAGGCAGGAGAATTTCTTGAGCCCAAGAGTTTGAGGTTGCTATGAGCTGTGATGTTACAGCACTCTACCCAGGGCAGTAGTTTGAGGCTTTGTCTCAAAAAAAAAAAAAGAAAAAGAAAAAAAGAAATTTTTTTCTTTGTTACCCTCATATTCATCATTCCTGGCAATTTTTAAAAAATATATAAAGCTATTTCTTTGCCCTCATCAAGGAAAACAGCCCATTTGCTGCCCACTTTGAGATCTTCCTTCTGCTGCCTGTCTTGTGGTCATTTTACTTCTCATTAAGCCCTCCATTGGAGACTGTGCCAAAATAGGGAGAAGATGAAAAGCCGATGAATCATTTTTTAATTGTTAGTGGTTCTGGAAAATGATTTAGTAGAAGAGATTGAAACTATTCTGGAAATTCTTTGGTATTATGTTTTATTTCATTCATCTGCATCGTCTCTGAGATATTTCAAATGGTCAAAAATTCAAAATTCAGGCTTGGCGCCTATAGCTCAAGCGGCTAAGGTGCCAGCCACATACACCAGAGCTGGCAGGTTGGAATCCAGCCCAGGCCTGCCAAACAATGACAACTATAACCAAAAAAAAGCGGGGTATTGTGGCAGGTGCCTGTAGTCCCAGCTACTTGGGAGGCCCATGCAAGAGAATCACTTAAGCCCAGGAGTTGGAGGTTGCTGTGAGATGTGAAGCCACGGTACTGTACCCAGGGCAACAGCTTGAGGCTCTGTCTCAAAAAAAAAAATTCAGAATTCAGAGGTTGATTACTATCTAGCTATTGGATAGCCAGGAATCTTCCTGCCTTTTTTTTTGTTTGTTTTTGCATTTTCACAGAGGATGTTTAAAAGCAAGGAGTAGAGATAAAAATTAACCAATCAATACTATTTTCCCCTTTGAGCTCTTTAATGAACAATTTGATTTTTAAAGATAGTTTAGTCATTGTTATTGGAAATGACTAATATTGCTTCACTTAATTTTGATATATTTTATATACAAGTATAGTAAGGCTTTGGGGTGCTTTTAAAGAAACATAGTCTTATATAGATTCTCATAATTGCTTTCCTGAATTATTAAGCTTGAGGTTTCATTACATCTTTGTACCGGAACTTTGGCTTTTGCTGTGGTATTCAGTGGAATCATTAATTTTCTTTTTATGACTGCTCAAGAAGTTATCTAGTTTTGATTTAACAGTAAAAAAAGGAAAAAAAAGGAATAGTGGACAGATCTTGTATAACATCTGTAACATTGATGTCTGTTTTTTTCCTGGTCTTTGGTCTTCCATTTCTTGTTTAACCATTTGGATATTCATGGATTGGAGTTCCTTTTTCTTACTGAAAACAGAGGATAGCAGCCACTTATTCTCAGCAGTTGTTGCCATTTATTTATTTATTAGCCTCAAGAGAATGTTTACAAACCCATTATGACTGCTTAGTTAGGTTGAGTTACTAGAAAATTTGTAAATCCCTATTGGGTAAGTAGGGTTAATAGATGGCTGTATAGGGAGTCTAAAGTTAATCCTTTTCACTTCCTTGTTTCTTGGATTCTGTTCTTTCAATTTCTGTCCTAGGACTTATGGAAAGATCTAGACTAGGAGTCAGGTGTGTTCAAAGACCACCAGTTCTTATTTGGTAACTTCTCAGTTGTGGGGCCTTGACTTAGTCTCTTAATCTGCCTTATTTTTCTTTTTTGCATCTCTACATGCTTGGTTTACTGCTATCAGAAGTGATGTGAGGTGGGACAGGCTTTCATAGCCTTGCCTGTTTAAATTATTTGTTCTAGAATCCCTTTTCAGGTTGTCCAAATTTTCTTTCAGGGTTCAACTGAGTGAGCTCTTCCCAGAAGTCCTCCATTTTCCCATTGGGAATCTTGACCTTCTCTGCTGGTCCATCTATTATATAGCCCTTTTGAATTCTGTTCTGCACTTCATTTGTCACATGTTGCCTTCTTTATAGATTGAAACCTCCATGAGGGCAAAGATTGTTCCACATAGGTTCCTCCCCACCCCATAGTTGACTTACGACAAATGTTGGTTGAATAAATGATTATTGAGGCTGTCTGGAATGAATACTTTGGATGATGGAAAGATGCCAAAGATGAGCATCTTACCAGAACTTTTAGATGACTGACCTTTGATGTTGTTCAGTTACTAATCCATGGTTATCAGTAACTGAATCAGACACTGGCAAGATGAATTGGCCAAGCCTGTTTCTTGGTTTTATTTCAGATACTATTTGTGAAGCAAGTCAGAGGAATGAAATGTTGTCATAACAACCCTGAATTTGACATTTGTTCCATTTCTCGCCCTATAGCATGTGGAGGCCTATCTATATCTAACTGCTGTGTAAAGAATAAAAACTGACTGCACATCTCTCAGTCCACATTTCAGCTTGTTTGCGTTGAAGAATTTGCAAGGTAGAGAAATAGATGCTTCAGGCTCTGATTTCAGCCCATGCTGTGCTATGCAAATGTTCTCTACATGCCTGAGTGACCTTTTGAGAAAGAGCCTTTGTGATCTTCTGTAGCCAGGGCTTGTTCTGGGAATTGTGTGCCAGATTCCTCTAAAAATGGGAAAAGCGGATGTGTTCAAAGACCACATAAAAAAGCCGATGCATTTCATGGGTGAATATGTATAAGTCCTTGTTTCTTACTATCTCTTGCCAGAGCTTTTGAAATTTGCTCTGCAGTTTGCTTTGCAGTTTGATTTGAGGAACTGAAGTGTGTGAGAGGGAACTGACTAAGGCAATTCAGTAGCAGGGAAACTGTTTAAGTGCTTTGGAATTGTACATAAAAATAAATCACACTGTCATCATTAGTATCTGAGCATTTCTGTGTCTTAAGGCTGGCTGTCCGTGAGTGTTGGCTGATTGACTCTTGTCCAGACCAGTAAGGTTTTGTTTTGGTTTTGGGGTTTTTTTGTCCCAAATTATGCTTTAACAGATCTGGCATTTATTTCAATTATTTTCTATTTGTTTTTCTTGTTGTACAAAGAGAAATATGTCATTATAAACTATATCATGATTAGTTTTTTATATTACAAGATAAATACCATTCTGATATATTTTTCTTGGAAAGAGATAATTGGTGTCTTGGGAGATTTATAATTTGTATAGCTGAAATGCTGATGAAAAGAAGTTTTCTCTTTCTCCCTTTTTAACGTTTAATTTTTGTTTTTTCTTGTTATCTAGAGTTTTTCAATGACATTTAATTATTTTTTTAATTTCAAAATGTTAAGGAGGTATAAGTGTTTTTGTTACATGGATGAATTCAATAATGTTTAAGTCAGGGCTTTTAGTGTGCCTTTCACCAGAGTAGTGTACATGGTGGACCACTAAGGATTTGTACAAGGATAAGGTTATAGAGTTATTGTAATGTTCTCCTATAGATTTTAAAAACTGGATTTTCAGAGAAAAGAGGTAGATTTCTTTTCTTTTCTTTTCTTAGTTATACTCTAATGAAGATTCAGAGAGGTAGCATTTGAATGGCTGGTCTACTTCGTAGGCTCTTCCTCCTTCCTTTTAAGTACAGGATAGCTCTTTGAAAAACCTTCATTTTCTTAGTTCCAGATGGGCTCCCTGAGGTAAGGACACAGGACCCACAGAAGGCCCTAGGGGCGTGCTTTCTTCCCCAGATCTTTGCCCTATATCGGGTTTTAGTAGAGCAAGAATGAGTGGTTTTTCTACTGTTTGGATTGCTCCCTTGGATGAAAAAAACCTTTTTTCTCTATTTTCATACTTTCATGTACTATCATATGTCTGGTTTATTTCTTCCCAGAGTTTCCCTGGAACCTGGGCTCCTGGAGACGCAGCGCTGGAGCAGATGGATAATGGAGACTGGGGCTATATGGTGAGTGGTTCTTGCAGGTTGAAGGCTGACAAATACTTTCTGTGTATCTTTTTTTCCCATTATGTATTCTCAGGTATAATATATCTTGTAAGAATGAATATTATGAATTTGTGCAACTCTCTCTTCTCTTTTAATCAGTTTTGTTGGGTTTTTTGGGTTTTGCTTTTTTTAAATTAAATTTTTTTTTTTTTTGCTAAAGACGGAGTCTTGCTATATTGCTGGTCTTAAACTCCTGCCCTCAAGTGATCCTCACATCTCAGCCTACCAAAGTGCTGGGATTACAGGCATGAGCCACCATGCCTGAATGGTTTGATGTTTTAATGGAAGCAAACTCAATATGGATGCTCAAAGTACGTTTTTAAATCACTTATTTGAGACCTAACATTATCTTTTTGTTTAAAGTATATTTGCTCTGAAGATGCTTTCTTCATGGAATGGTGACTTCTAGCAGGGCACATTTATTTGTAGTTAGGGAGATTAATGATTGAAGGTGCCTCTTCTCCCAATTGCACTTCTCATGTGTACATGTGTCTTGCTATTTTCTATTCCTTTGGGAAGAAATATTTTACTTGGGTTGTACTTGAAGTCAGTCTGTCTTTATTTTTTCTTAAATATTGTTAAAATATGATTTCTAAAGCTGAAGGTATGTATTAGAGAAGCTTGTTTTTCAAAATTAAAGGCCAGGTTGCAATATTAATGTTACAAAAGTGAATACACCATCAGATTATGCAATTTTAAAGCTGCTGTTAGCGGTGAGTGCGCATGTGTTCCTTTTGTGGCTAGGTTGGGTTGACTAAATTGTATTTTAACTTAGTATTTGAAGCTATTATTTCCATGGAAAGGTTATCAAGATTAGATCTATACAAATTTTTATTTTTAAATTAAATTTCATGTTTCTTTTGTTCCTCTTTTATCAGGGAGAAAAATTCAAATATTGAAAGTAGATGTCTTTATATTATCAGATCATTTTTATTCTATTCTATGTTAAATTGAGTTAAGAAAAACAAACGCCTTTTTACAAAATCAGAAAAAGACTTCAGAGTATATTTTAGCTTAGCTTTTTCTTTCTCATATACTCTGACCTAAAAACTCCATAGATACTGGGCCTGAAGCTATTTACTTCTGGAAGTCATACCCTCCATTCTTAGAGCAAGGCCTTAAAGAATTCCATTTTTCCTTTTTTCTCTTGAAGGCAAATATTCCATCCCTCCATCTGGTTATGTTTATCACTGAAAGAAAGCCATTTGTGTTACAGGATTACTAAATGTACTTTAGCCTGAAGGTATTTTGTGCTTTGCTCAGTATCATTAATTTTCTTAATTTGTCGAAGTTAGGATTAAAAATTTCAGATGACTGACCTTTTTGTTTGTTAAATTTCAGATGACTGACCCAGTCACGTTAAATGTAGGTGGACACTTGTACACAACGTCTCTAACCACTTTGACTCGTTATCCGGATTCCATGCTTGGAGCTATGTTTGGGGGGGACTTCCCCACAGCTCGAGACCCTCAAGGCAATTACTTCATTGATCGAGATGGACCTCTTTTCCGATATGTCCTCAACTTCTTAAGAACTTCAGAGTTGACCTTACCCCTGGATTTTAAGGAATTTGATCTGCTTCGAAAAGAAGCAGACTTTTACCAGATTGAGCCATTGATTCAGTGTCTCAATGACCCTAAGCCTTTGTATCCTATGGATACTTTTGAAGAAGTTGTGGAGCTATCCAGTACTCGGAAGCTTTCTAAGTACTCCAATCCAGTGGCTGTCATTATAACCCAATTAACCATCACCACCAAGGTCCATTCCTTACTAGAAGGCATCTCAAATTATTTTACCAAGTGGAATAAGCACATGATGGACACCAGAGACTGCCAGGTTTCCTTTACTTTTGGACCCTGTGATTATCATCAGGAAGTTTCTCTTAGGGTTCACCTGATGGAATACATTACAAAACAAGGCTTCACAATCCGCAACACTCGGGTGCATCACATGAGTGAGCGGGCCAACGAGAACACGGTGGAGCACAACTGGACTTTCTGCAGACTAGCCCGGAAGACAGATGACTGATCTCCAGCTCCACGAGAAGTTCTTGGAAACGACTCCAGGAAATGGAAGAGACTGATTTTTGTTTTTAATTACAGCGTGGGATTTTTTTTCCTTTTAAATATTTGTATTTATTTGAAGGCAGTGAGGATCAGAAGGAAGATTTGTGCTTTAGCAGATTCCTCCATGTTTTGTCCCCTTCAGCCTGAGTATGCATGTGCCTGTTCACAGTCTCTAGATACCTTTTTTATAAAAAGAAGTCTGAAAATCATTATGGTATATAATCTACCCTTAACAGAGCTTTTTTTTATTACAGTGCTAAAATGATTTCTGATAAATGGTCCCTAACTCAGGTAGAAGGCTAAAAATACAGGAATGAAAGAATAAGCAGAGTACTCATGATGCCTTTGAGAAAAATCAAAACATCATGTAGGGTGACCTAGTTTCCAAAACAATAAGTAGTATTGTAATATTAAAGGAGAACTGTTCCAATCATTTAAAAGTACTTATTAAGTACTGCTTTTTACAGTTATGACAACTGTTTCTTTCTATGCATATAAATCAAGGAACCAAATATCTGTAGCCATGGAAATGTCTAACTAGAAATATTTATATTAGATTCTGAATACGAAATGTCCCTGTGGTAGAAATCTTATGCCTGGTGCAGTATAATTCCCAAGTGTACTGTTGACCAGGAAAAAAAAAAACCTAATAAAAAATGAAATATGAAAATTAAGTATGTGTTTATCAATTATTATTAAGGGGGAAACATCATATTCCTTGTCTAAAGTATGCCTTGTCTGTCTTATGTTCTGGTATTTACTGCACATTTACATTTGATCTATAGGTTGCAGTTTATAAAAAACTCTTGTGTTCCTGAAAGAAACACAGATGGAATTATTAATTTTGTTTAAAAGTGCATATTTGAGCAGTGAACATACAGTTTGACAAATTTTTTCAAATAGGACTTACATTGAAGAGTATACTTTTTTTTTTTTTTTTTTAGAGATAGAGTCTCATTTTGTCACTCTCTGTAGAGTGCTGTAGAGTCACAACTCGCAGCAACCTCCAGCTCCTGGGCTTAGGTGGTTCTCCTGCCTCACCCTCCCAAGTAGCTAGGACTACAGGCGCCTGCCACAATGCCCGGCCATTTTTTTGTTGCAATTTGGCCGGGGCTGGGTTTGAACCCTCTACCCTCGGTATATGGGGCCAGCGCCCCCCTCACTGAGCCATAGGCGCCACCCTGAAGACTACATTTTTAATTGTCATAGTTTTAAATATGACCATTATTTCAGCTTTGTGCTAAGCTCAGGGACAAGATTCTATAACCACTTCACTGTGGCAACCCACACATCTATTTTGTTATCAAATTATATTGTATTTCTGAGGAAAGAAACAAGCTTCAGAAGGATCTGGAATAGTTTAGTCATTGTAGTCTTACTTTGCATAGTTCATTTGATTCTATTTCACAGGAAAGATTATTTTAATCTTAGTGACACTTCCTAGTTTGCTAGAATACTTTATAAAAGGAATTCACAGTTTCTTCCTATTTTCTAAGGGCAAAATGGAGCTCTGAGACTGTCCTCTGGGGTAGACAGGTCACTCCTTTTTTTCCTTCTCTGTGAGAAGATTCTGAGATTCTCTGAAAGGAAGATTATGACACTTAAGTCCATTTTTGCCCATGTCTGTCTTTTTTTTTTTTTTTTCTTTTGCCCATCTCTTTCTGAAAATTTATTTTAGGATTTGACAAATGGCCAATATGCAGAAACCTGTAATTACCCTGTTCTCACAATCTTCAAACTAAGATCCCTTAAAGTTAATGACAGGCTGCTGTGGTTTCAGTAAATCAATGTACTAGTACAGGTTATCTTTTAAAAAATGTTGTCTCCTATTTAAAATTGATTGATGATTACCTGAAAAAAAAAAAAAAAAGAAATAACGACCAGTTATGTGTAGTTGAACAAGCTAAGGCCAATGTGAATTAAAATGATGTTGGGTTGAAAACAGGTGTGGAAATAGGAATACTAATAGCTCTAAGATTTTAAGAGTTAAAAACTTACAGGATCTCTTCCCTGTCTAGTTTACTGGAGATAAGTTTGCTTTGGGTAAATTTTATCAGATTCACGAATTATTATTATTATTATTGTTTTTTGAGACAGAGTCTCACTATGTTGCCCTCAGTAGAGTGTCATGGCGTCACAGCTCACAGCAACTTCAAACTCTTGGGCTTAAATGATTCTCTTGCCTCAGCCTCCCAGGGCATGCAGTGGCTCAGCTGACGCTGGTGGATCACTTGGAGCTCAGTGGTTTGAAGCCAGCTTGAGCAAGAGCAAGACCCTGTCTCTAAAAAAATAGTTGGTCGTTGGGGCGGGTACCTGTAGTCTCAGCTACTCCGGAGGCTGAGGCAAGAGAATCACTTAAGCCCTAGAGTTTGAGGTTGCTGTGGGCTAGAATGCCACGATATTCTATTAGGATGACAAAGTGAAACTCTGTCTCAAAAAAAAGGTTATTAATAAATTACTTTCGAGAGCACAGTAAGTATATTCTTTTTTTTACTTTTTTGTTGACCAACATAATTTAAGTGTGCCGTGGAAGTTTAACTATAGGTTCAAGTGTGCTGTGAGATAAAATCGGTTGAAAAACACCGCGCTAGGGTGATGCTGACCACTGCCTTGAGCTATACTGTGATTTTGAACACTAATTCTTACTTTTCTTCTTATTTTTTTTTGAGACAGAGTCTCAAGCTGTTGCCCTCGGTAGAGTGCCATGGTGTCACAGCTCACAGCAACCTCAAACTCTTGAGCTTAAGTGATTCTCTTGCCTCAGACCTGAGTAGCTGGGATTACAGGTGCCCGCCACAACATCCGGCTACTTTTTCTGTTGTAGTGTCGTCGTTTAGCTGGCCCAGGCTGGGTTCAAACCCACCAGCCTAGGTATACAGCCAGCGCCATAACCACTATACTACAGGTGCCAAGCCAGATTCAGTAATCACTAACAACTAAATGATTACGTGAGTAAATTAGGAAAAGTAGCAGTTGAGATTTTTTTGCAATTTGTCTAGTAACATTTAATTTTAAGTGTTTTATCTAGTTAGGTAATTGAAAATGATATGAAAAATGTACCTTGAAGATTTTGGGTAGCTTGAGATGTTATGTCTGTTTTTATGAAATTCCAAATCGTTTTTACTTGGGAAGACTTGATTTTTAAAAATTGATACTTAGTTGTATTCTTAGGGCTCTATTTTATTTAGATTACATCAAGTGTAGGCACTTTTGGAGGGTATTGTATGTGCTCTTTTAAACCTAAGGATGAATGTGTACTGAAGTGTTAATGAGCGAGTCTACTTTCTAGATCTAAAGCAAAGCCTGATATTTAATCAAATAGATGCTACAAATGTATAGTGGTACTGTTTGTCATTGTGGGAAATTTCAAACACTTAAAAGTAGGGAGATTAGAACACCCACTGACCAGCTTTGATAACTGTTCCCTCCTGCTTTTTTCTTCTGTGAATTATTTTGAGGTAAATCACAGATACTATTTCATAGATAATACTTCAGACTGTATCTTAAAAGATAACAGTTGTAATACATATATATATGTGTACATAAAATTTTAATTATGTACCATAGTACCATTATCACACACTGGTGTCGCTTGCTTCTTGGATACTGTTGGTTGTTTCATAGCTTGGATCTCCAACTTTGTAATAACGGTCTTATATATTTCTCATAGGCAGGGTTCCCCTGTTTGTAGGAAGAAATGCATTATTAAGACAGGATATTTCTGCCAGGATTAATGACTTTCACTTTCAAGACAAATCTTTAGCTTCAAAAAAGTAACATTACATAAGATTCTTAATTTTTAAAATTATTTTTAAAATTCATTTTGTGTGAACATATGGAGAAACATTTTTTCCAAAGGGCATCCTTCCTTTTCTCATGCAGATTTTAAATTGTGGATGCAGGTGGCCAATTAAGAACACTGCTTATCATTTGCTTTTGGAATTTAGTACAAATAAAAGGCTTGACTCTTTGAGATTATTTGAAATTGAGCATTAACCCATAAAGCAAGGAACCACGTAGTTGACTCAGGTAAGCAGCAGGCTAGGTCAGAATAGTTTATCCCCTTGGTTCTCGCATGCAATGCTTTGATTCTTTCATAGCTTTAGCCTCACATTTAATAATATTTACTTTTTTGCTTTTCTACACTAAAACTATAAGCTACTTGAACAGCAGTCTATGACTGTTGTTAGGCACAGTCTAAGTACATAGTCTGTGTACTTAGGCACTTAGTTTTTGGCACATGTGCTCAGTAAATATTTGTTGCATGATTGAATGAATGAATCTATTGGTCAAATTTTTACATTAGAATAATAGGGGGAAAATCAGATTCTCGTTTTCAAATTATCCCTAATAATTCCCTTCACTGCTTGCATCTCTAGGGAATCACTTAGATGTGAGTTCGCATGAGGAGGGGAACAGCCACTATGGAGAAACTGGCTTGAAATAGCATTAAAATAAAAAAAAAAAAAAGCCAAAAAGTAGACCTAGCTAGAGTAAGCCAAGAGCAAGCACATCATTGTCTGGGAATAAAGCTCAGCACACATGGCCCCAGACAGACAGATGCTCCTGTGATACTAAGATGTTTAAGTTTCTTTTGGTAGAAAAATGCCAGTAAAATGTATTCCTGTTTATACTTTTGTGTCTATGGAGCATGTTTCAATATAGGTGCTGTTTCACATTCCTAATGGTAGGTGAGCCTATGCATGGAGGGCCACAGTCCTGTCCAGTGTCACCTTTTTAGCAAGATAACAGAAGTTAGGATGACAAGAGTCTGTGGCATTGTGTTTTCAAGAGGCTTCTTCCTTTCACTATGTAGGTTATAAAACCATGGTCATTTGTTTATTCCTGAAACATAGATTGTCTACTCTGAATATCCTGGAGTTAAGAAGGTGAAGACGCCATTGTTCACAGTCAAGTGGAAGGAGAGACAGAAAAGTGAGTGGGGCAAAGTGCATCAACATATTACCAAATCTGTCAACGCTGTAGGTCACTCATGCCTCTCATTTAGCTAAGCCTGTTCTTATATAGTCTCCAGATTAAAGTCGTTTAAAATAAAGATTACACACAACATGAGAAACAAGGAAAGCCCCCTACATTCTTCAGTGAAGACAAGAATCAGGAGAACTGGAATGTTTCCTGTGTTGCCAGTAAAACAGGTTTGAGCTATACGTGTATACAATAGCGTGTTTCCTGACAGGTGTTCACAGAACAGGCTTTTCTCTAGCACACCAAAGGGCAAACATTTATCTTTAGGTGGTGGGAGTTAGTCTGTAGTGGGAGGACTGCTGTATTTTTATGCCAGGATTTAAATGTTAGAAGCAGAAAGATTTAATCATTAGAAAAAGTAACATCTTGGACTTAGATTAACTGTACTAATCAGTAAACATACACCTTCTTTAGGTAAGTTGTTTCTATTTCTTTGTTGAGTTAAAAGGATGTCTTCTTGGGAACAGGGAATGATTGAAATGGATTGGCCTTCTATCTCACAACCATCTTGAGGGTAACTGGTTGTGTTATAACTTTAGATAATCACGTTAAATTAAGCTATGAGGTATGACAGGCTGCAAATTGTTAAGAGCAAGTCTAACACCATACTAAGTGTGAATGAAAGCCTGAGAGTTGCCAATTTGATGAGGTGTTAAGACACCTTTTCTGAAATTGGACTGAAGAGATAAAAAAGAAAGCTTTACCATCTGAATAACATATTTGCATTATGAGACTTAAAATAATCTGTTGTGTACCTATAGACTTTTTGTTTTGATCATCTGTGTCAAATCTATTAAATACTGGTTCCCTAAATTCTAAATACAGGGTCTATTTCTTCACTCCAGTTAATGTATTCATTGATTATTCAAAGCTTTTCCCAAAGAGGCACACAGCAGACAGTCTGGGACCCTGGCCATAGGCTGTTGGGGTTTTATGAGTCCTCTGCCTCTTTTCACTGTTAATGATGTAGAGGTTGGGTGTTTTCTCTAGGACATCTGGGGATCTTTTCGCTATAACCCTTGTAGATTGTTATTTATGTGGCTTTCTGGGGTACTGATGGCAGTTTTGCCATCAGGAGTTTTGCCTTGCAGGAGTGTCCAACCTTTTTTCTTCTCTGTTGCACACTGGATGAAGAAGAGTTGTCCTGGGACACATATTAAATACATAAACACTAACAAAAGCTAATGAGCAAAAAAAGAGTCCATGTATACTTTTCATGATATCCGCCACCACAGATAAGCAGAAAAGTCCTCGTATAATTTGCATGTGGCCCGCAGGCTGCAGGTTGGATACCCCTGTGAGGAGGGAGGCTTATCTAGCAGGCCATCAGGTCTGAGAGAGACATACCCCAAACTTCCTAATCCTCTGAATATCCACATTTATCTACACAAAATAGTTAAAAGGCTGAAAATAAGAGGGTTAAATCACAATAGTGATTTATCTCCTTATTTTTGTTACTTAAAAGCTAGTTTGCCACTCTGTGTATGCCCTTGGGTATGACAAGCCAGATTTAAAGCTTCGGCCTTCCTCTTAATTCCCTTTACCCAGTTCCCAGCACTGCATTTTGCTGATTTACAGTCGAGGCTTGCAGTTCCTAACTAGCCACACCCCCACTCCTGGTTTCTTTTATGTGTTCTCTAGAAATTTTTTAAACAGCCATGCTGTGACAAGTGATTTCCAACCTAATGGGTGGGAATCAACTGAAATGGGAAAACATGGATGTATATTCAATGCTTGTTCTCTGCTCTCTTACATAATTTAAAATGTGTTGCACTCAGTTACCTGAGTATTGGTTGGTGACGTCTGAGCCCACTGGAACAGACGTTCATAGACATTTCCATCATAACAGCCAAGTGCTGAATTTAAACTCTGATCAGTGAAGTCAAAAGCATCAGTTAACAAGATGGCATCCTTCCTGAGAGGAAACAAGAGTTTGTGGGTTCCTTTTTTTTTTTTTTTTGATTTTATGAGAATTAATCTAATTAGATATTACATCATCATTCGCTTTGTGAACAATTCAGCTTCATTTTCCTTTAGTATTTACTTTTTAATCAGTTATATACATGCAGTATAAAGAGTTAGAGTTCCTTAAGGCTTGTTATTTAAAAAGCAGCATATCTCTGTCACTTACCTCCATTTCCTTCTCCCCAAGAGCAGTTTTAATCTTTTAGCTGATATTTTGGTATTGACCTGAATGTCTAAATATCTTGTTTATATTGCAGCTTCTTGATGATTTAGTTTTAGATATTATCTGTTGACTGTTTATTACAAAAGATAAGGATTTATTTTTACCACCCCTCTTTGTTTTTTTTTTTTTGTAGAGATGGGGGTCTCACTATGTTTCCGAGGATGGTCTGGAACTCCTGGTCTCAAGTGATCCTCTTGCTTCAGCCTCCCAAAGTGCTGGGATTATAGGCGTGAGCTACCACGTCCAGCTTCCTTCTCTTTACCCCCACCTCTCCTACCCCAATGCTTCCTCCCCTAGGCCTTCCTGCTTCCCAGGATAGTTAAAATTTTTGCCATGCCAGTCAATATTCAGTGTTGACTGTATGTCATCAAAGTGTTTGAGGTGACTGGGATACTGTACCCAATTTCATCTCTCCTGATGACCCTTCACATCATTATGAACCCTACCACCTATTTAAGGTCCCTCTGTCTCTTGTGGTCTTCCTTCCTTATCCAACAAAATTTCATGTTCTATAATATTCACTCCCCCGAAAATATATTCAACAGGTTTTGTTTTGTCATACTAGTTTAGCAAAATCTGTCCTTCCTTATCTCCAACTTTCCACTGACTTCATGCCACCACCTTTGTAACTAGAGGTTGCTGGAAAAAACAATCCTGACTGGTGTGATAAGGATTCAAGTGGCCCTGATCTGTGCTTGGCAATTATATTACATTTCTCCAGTTCATTTCCTCTTCCCCTCTCTTTCATATCTTCTCTTTAGTTCTCAGATCTACACTACCCACCTCCCCATCTCTCTTACCTGGACGACTTTGCACTCTATCACTGAGAAAGTGGAAGCATAAGACAGTTTCCGTAAGTTCCCTCTCTTGTGTTTATATATACAAGGTCTTCTTCTTAGTCAGCTGTCCAGACTCCCAGCTCAGGCTAGTAAGTCCCTCTTTGTCTACTAGATGCCCTTTCCTCTTGCTTACTAGAGAATAACATTTCAGAAATTCTCCTCCCCTTCCACTATAACACCACAATTCCCTTTTCTATAGCATCATTTCCATCAGCATATCAACATGCTGTCATTTCTTCCACCGTAAACACGTGCTTTCAACTCTATTTCCTCATCTGTCATCATGGTTCCCCTTTATGACAAAACTTCTTGAAAATGTTATACCCACTTATGCTTACTATTTCCAGTTTTCATGTTCTCTCCAGACTGGATCCAGCCAGATTTTCACTCCCCATATTCCACTGACATAGCTCTTGTCCAGGTCTTGTTGTCTTGGAGGGTGTCAGGACTCAGTCCTAGGACCTCTTCTCTTCATGCACCCCTCTGTGCGGTAGCATCCTTCTGATGCTTTTAAATATCAGTCATATGCCAAATTGATCCCACCAGTGTCACCTGCTTACCAAATCTGTACCTGGATTTCTAACTGGCTTTTCAAATGTAATATGTCTAAAACAAACTCCTGATTGGCTGGACTGGATGTTTTCTTGTCGATCCTGCTCAAACCTGGCCTTTCCCGTTTATAGTAAATGGCATTTCTGTCATCCTGGCCCAAAGCCTTGATTCCTTTCTTCTTTCTTACCCTACATCTAATCTGTCAGTAAATCCTGTGCTACCTTCTCTCTGCTTTTCACACTTAATATGGCAGGTGGAATGATCCATTAAAAATATACATTAGAGGCTCAGCACCTGTGGCTCAAGCGGCTAAGGCGCCAGCCACATACACCTAAGGTGGCGGGTTCAAATCCCCAGCCCGGGCCCTCCCAAACAACAATGATGGCTGCAACCAAAAATGGCCAGGCGTTGTGGCGGGCGCCTGTAGTCCCAGCTACTTGGGAGGCTGAGGCAGGAGACTCGTTTGAGCCCAGGAGTTGGAGGTTGCTGTGAGCGTAATGTCATGGCACTCTACCCAGGGGGATAGCTTGAGGCTCCGTCTCAAAAAAAAAAAAAAAAAAAAAAAAAAAATATATATATATATATATATATATATATATATACACATTAGAATCTTTCAGGTTGTGTCTATCCTATATTCAAAACCGTCTCATTCTCACACAAAAGCCAAAGTCTTTGCAGTGATCCCCCCACCTCTCTTGCTGCTCCTTGTACTCCCTAAACTCTCTGCATTCTGCTCCCATTCTCTACCCCACTCATGCCTTTCCTCTTCTGTGGCTTCTTCTCTTTTCTCTAGATAGGTGAGCTAAGCTCACGCTGCTTCCAACCTCTGTCCAACCTCTCTGTACCGCATAACATTTTGGTTGATTACAGACTGTATATGTGATTGTGGTCCCATAAGATTATAAGGGAAATAAAAAGTGCCTACTGCTTAGCAGTTTCTGTTACAGTTGCCTCCAGTATTCACAGGCTGTGCAGGTTTGCAGCCTAGGAGCAATGGCTATAGCATACAGGCTAGGTGTGTACTAGGCTGAACCATCTACTTTGGGGTACGTATACCCTGTGATATTTGAACAGTGATGAAATCACCTCACGGCCTTTCTCAGACCATATCTCCATTGTTAAGTGAAACATGACTGTACTCTCTCTGCCTAGAATGTTCTTTTCCCAGCAGCCACATGGTTTCTCTCCACCTTCCTCTGGGTTTTTCCTTAAATGTCACCCTCCCAAGGAGGCCTTCCCTGACCCATTTGAAACTGCAGTCTCCCCACCTCAGCATTCCTTTTCGTCTTTTCTGCTATGCTTTTCTTCATGGTACCTGTTACCATTTCACATAGTACGTGGTAGACTGATTGTGTGTGTGTGTTTCTGTCTCTGCTCTTATAGTCTGTAGGTATTTGTGGCTCTGGTCAGTCTGAAACCCGTATCCTTCATTTACCCTCAATATTTTCTTGAATTATTAATGATTCACTCCCTTATGTTTTCTCTGTCTTCTCTTTCTAGACCTGTTGTTGAGATGATAGACAGCTAGGATTGGTCCTCTTTAAAAATATATTGTCTCAGCTCAGCGCCTGTAGCTCAGTGACTAGGGCCCCAGCCACATACACCAAGACTGGAGGGTTCAAGCCCAGCCCAGGCCTGTTAAACAATGACAGCTGCAACCAAAAAAATAGCTGGGTGTTGTGGCAGGTGCCTGTAGTCCTAGCTACTCAGGAGGCTGAGACAAGCAAATTGGTTAAGCCCAAGAGTTTGAGATTGCTGTGAGCTGTGACGCCATGGCACTCTACCGAGGGCACCATAAGTGAAACTTGAGGTCTCAAAAAAACTTTTTTTCTCTATTTTTTGTCCTTTCGCTTTCTTTCTGTGAGATTTCTGCAACTTTCTCTTCATCGTTCATTTCTAGTATCATTTAAAAAAAATTTTTTTTGAGACAGAGTCTCTCTTTGTCACCCTGGGTATTGTGCTGTGGCATCATAGCTGACAGCAACTTCAAACTCTTGAGCTCAAGTGAGCCTCTTGCCTCGGCCTCCCAGAGTTCTAGGATTACTGGCATGAGCCATTGCACCCAGCTGCAAATATTACTTTTTAAATAATTATATTATCATTCTTATTTTCTGGTTGCAATATCTCTTCTTAGCCCTTTGAGGACATTCCTGATATTTAAAACAGTTTTCTTCTTCCTGAAGGAAGGGAAGATTCTCTTGTGTCCTCAGAGCTGCCTTGTCCTGGCTTCTTTGGTCTTCATCTTTTATGTTAGGGGCTTTCCTGAAGTGATCGCTGGGTTTCTGATCATAGGTAAGAGCAGGGCATTCAGCATTCCACGAGATGCTAGTGGGTATGCTTGTTAAAGTGGGGTATATTGTAAGGTGAATTAGATCACTGGGGACTCCAGCATCAATATTTTTAGCTTCTTCTGCTTGGACTGATCAGATTCTCCAGAGAAAGATCATCTTAGTGTCTTCCTACAGGGTAGCAGTCTGGCTTCCAGTTTTTTAGGAATCAGTGGAAAAGAGGGTTGGAGGAGGGAGGTGTCAGCTTTTGGCCTATAAAGTCCCCTGTTTTCTGTAGTATATCCTTATCCTGAGATAAGCCTGATGCTCCCTGTTTACCCTGTGCCAGGGTAGGCTTAAGGAAAATCTTAAAATCACTTGCAGAGGAGCAGGGGAACTGAGGATTCAGCTCCTTCTGAAATAGATTTTCAACCCAATGGTTCAGTCTCCTGTCCGAGGTGACTGGGCGGTGGGTGCTGCTAATTCCCGCAGCTCTCTGGTGTGACTAGTCTACTAAGCATCTGTCTGCATCTGTTCTCCAGCTTCCATGTCTCCTCCGCTGTTCCCTTTCTCTTTGTGGGCTCTTCCCTTTTACAACATTTCAGTCCTTGGTTTGATGTTTTCCTAGGTTTTCAGGAAGGAACAAAAGTAAATGTGTATGTTTAATCTGCTGTCTTTACCTGGAAGTTCCCCAAGTGAGATTTTATAGCTACTTAACTAAAAACTGTGTGGGTCAGTTAATTAACATTACCCTGAGAGCTAGTTCTAGGTGTTACTTAGAACAGGGTGTCATCTTTCATTTGTCATCTCAGAAATCTGAGGGAAATAATGTCTAGGCAAGGTAGGGAACTATGACACAGACGGTTAAAAGCACCGAATCTGTCACATACTGAATTACCCTGCAATAGTAAGGTTACTTAGGAACCATAATGTAAGTAAATCAATTTGTGGGTCTGATGCGTGTGTTAGCTGGCAGCTTGCATCAGCGCTATCTGTCTTGTCTTGAATTGTAAGTCTCTGGAGCCCAAGGCAAGCACTTAGAAATGCTGTTTGCAAATTTAAAAAAAAGTGCTTATGGAATATTAAGGTGATCTTTTATATTTTGTCATCACTGCCAGCCAGTATAGCACATTATTTTCTTCATGTGCCTTTAAATGCCGAGTGTTTTAGAAAGGCCAAGATGCACTTGGGCTAGAACTATGGAGCATTTAATTATGCTCTTAATGGTTTTCACCACTAGATTCCCTGTATTAGGGAAACTTTAATACCTGGGGCATAATTTTATGAAATGTATTTTTGACAGATTTTGATGGTTTAATTGAACAAATATTTACTCTCATCTATCTGTTAGGTGCTTATGCGTAGTCATGAATGGAATGTGACATTACATACTGTATTATTAGAAATAAAGAATTTGGGCTAGTTTTTATTTTTCGAAACCTCTGTCTTAAAAATCTTGTTTTTATAAATTTTCAGATATTTTTCCTGTTTTTTTCTTTTAGACTTGCCAATAATGAGAACCATTGGAAGGGACCCTCCCCTCCATACAATAGGCTGCCCTGTGAGGTTGTGCTCTTAAGTTAGTCCATCATCTTAGAGATGAAAAATACGGTAAATAATTTATATTGTTTTACTTTCTAATTTTTCTAGTACTCTAGTGGGAGTGGGCTTTGGTTTTGATATGTTTTATTTAAAGAAATCATTTAGATTATAGAATAACAGGATGAAAACATTGCATTAACACTTCCCAATCCTAAGTGGCACTGCATTAAATAAAGCTGCATTTAAAAACTGTTTGTATTTTTGTTTTGCAAGTCAAAATATACATTACTGAGTTAAAAAAACTTCATCTAGAAGCTGAGGGAAAATTAAAGTTTATTAAACTTGTTAAGAATTTGATTAAACATATTTGATAAAGACAGGGGTATGGTTGAAACAATCCCTCAACATTAACCTACAGGTCAGAGCACCTGCTTAGGGGTCAGACAGGCTTGAATTGCACCTGGCTTCTCCTCTGACTAATTATGTGACATTGGGCAACTTAACCCCTCTAAGCCTGAATTTCCTCCCCAGTAAAATGGGGAGATTAATACTATCCATTTCAAAGGGCTATAAGGATTAAATGAGATGATGTGTGTAAAAGTTTTTGGTGCAGTGCCAGGCACATCAGGGCTCCTTAAATGCTAGCTATGATTAAGACTCTTACTATGAGCACATATTATTCACATGTAGCTTCATGTTATTCATATTCCTTAGATAGTGATCCTATTTCCTGGACAATGTTAAAGAGTTCAATTGAAGTAGCTAATTTATTCTTAAGCATTTTATTTCTAATTTCTTTTCTTTTTTTTTCTTTCATTAATTCATATGCTTTATGTTGGTGTGATAATGCTAGGGTAACGCCCTCCAGGGCCATTGCTGCTTTTGTCAGACCCCCATTAGTAAGGGTTTGGAGTTTGAAGTGAGCTGTGAACAGAGTCTAGGGTTATTCTCTGAAGGCCAATGTGGTCTAAGTCTCAGCTACTCACCGGATCAGGGGGAGCAGGTCCAGGTAGGCCTTTCTTGCCATATCCACTTGGGCCCCAGACATGAAGCCATCATGGAGAAAGTCACCTGAGTTAGTCAAGATGCCATGTAAGGCATGGAGGTCACAGAGGCGTTTGAGCACCTGATGAATTGCAGGTTCATTTTCTAGTTTCTGCAGAGCTTCTCTAAAACTCTTCACAGAGATATAGTAGCAGTGTGCCTACAAAGATACACAGACACATTAACCACTGAGTTCAGATTTCTGACTCCAGAGTCATCCTGGAAGCTTGGCAAGACTGCTTGAGTAAACTTGGGGCAGCCACGTATTTCCCAGCAGGCTGACCAGCAGCCGCCTTTTCTCCTAGCTCATTCTGGGTCTGAGCCTTTTTGATGGTTTGTGTATGTTGAGGGCTGATAGGCTTTGAAACTTGGTTTCCTCAATTTGCTTGGGCCAGCTTCACATAAGGTTGAAAATAGAAAGCATACTGGAGGTTGGCCTGGGGAAAGCAGAGGGCAGTACCACTTTTCTGAAGAAAATAACTACTATCTGCCATGTTCAAGGTAGTGGTATGTGTGTGTGTATGGGCACGGGTGTGTGCGTGCACCATGCGTGAAAAAGTAAGGGTTCAAGATGTATATGGAAATTTATCCTACATATATATATATACATATTTGTCCATAATATTTTGTAACCTGTTGGTAAGTGACCACTGCCATAAACCTGTGAGAGCCCCTCTACCGGATGGCCTCCTTCTCTGGGACTCCAACTCCCCACAGCCTAGCAACTAAGGATTAATGCCTGCCCAAACAGGACGCCTTTAGAACCCTACTTCCCATAAGCCTGAAGTCCTTTCTAATTGGTTGATGCCCCTGTTCTATTGGTTTTAAATATTTTGACTATTCCTGTTCCCCAAGACAAGAGCACATAATTATTTTCTTGTGTAGGATATCTGAATTCCAGAATGGTAAGAGATGAAGAGAAAAGGTAGTGTTTCTCAAATTACTATGTGCACACAAATCACCTGGAGATCTTGTCAAAATGTGGGTCCCAGAGTGAGGCCTGAGACCATGCATTTCTGTGACCTCCCCTACTTTGTGATGCCCATGCTGCTAGTAGTGACTATAAGTAGAAAGACTTAGAGTATCTTGGGGGTTCAAAGGAGTTCATCCAGACGGACAAGGAATGGGGAAATGTCATTTTAGGCAGGAGGAACTTTTTGTGTAAAGAGCTGTACTTTCAGGAAGGCGCCAACAATTTGATGAGGCTGAGGTGCTGGGGTATGGTGCAGTTAACAATGGAGAAACTATGGGAGTTAGGGCAGACTTGTACCTGGGACCCAGGTCAATGAGGGGCTGGGAAAGACCTAGTTGGGGTTTCATTTTGTGGGGCCAAGGAATCTTCAGCAGGGCAGTGACCTGATAAGGTTTCTCGAAAGAACCTATGCTTCCCAGGGGCCTCACACAAGAGCTGACAACTCCACTCGGCCATGCAGGCCTTGTGCACTCACAGCTGTGTGGGGCTGGCAGCCTTAGGATGTGGATCATGAGCCAATGTGCTGCGGCAGCCTTGGATGCTCAGACTGAGTCCAGCCTGGCAGAACTGGAGACTCAAATTTCTTTTACCTAAGTTCTGTTTTCTCTGTCTTAATCTGAGGACTCAAGGTTCTGGGTTGAAGAGTAGAGTGATGGAAAGCTACCGGAGGGTCTGGGCCTCTGCCTTAGAAAGCAGGATGAGGACTAGACAGAGGAGGTGGCCTATGCGCTCTGGGAAAGTCTGAGCCAAACGTTGGCATCACCTTCTGAACACAATGAACTTTAGTTATTTTGTAAGTGTGTTGGCTTAAATCTTGGTTCCTATCTAATTTGAGGGTGAGGGTGGGGTGTACAACACTTACGTGCTAGATGCCTAAGTTTTCCGAGTGGTAGGTACAGTTATTAGCTCTATTTTGCAAATGGAGAGGCAGAGGCTCTGAGAGATTAAGTTTCTTGCCCAAGGTCACATGACTTGGTAAACAGTGGGGCTGTTTGCCTAACTGCTACCCTGTGTTGCCAAGGGCAAGGGAGACTGGGGCCAGGCTACAGTGAGCACTAGCTTTTACTCCAGTGGGCCTGGGGATGGACATCCCTCCTGAGCAAAGCCTGAGATTATAGGACCAGAGCCTGTCAGAGCCCCAAGGGCTTTTCCATGCCCCTTTGTTATATGGACAGGGAAGGTAAAACCCAGAGAGGGAAGGGGCTGCTGGAGGTCCCACAGAGCTGGGATGAGAACTAAGCCTACGGTTCCTCCTTGTCTTTCTCTCTATGGTTGTTGGGCCCCTTCCCCAAGCTTCAGTTATTCTCTGCCTGAATATTCACAGTTTCCAGTGGGACCCAGTTGGATGCTTGAGTTCTCTGAAGAGTAGAACACATTCCGTCTACCAAAACACAGGAAGTGACAATGTGACCTCAGGGGCTCAGCTTAGGACCACCCCAGGACTGGCTTTTCTCCCCCAGGCTGGCTGAGCTTTCTCCCCTAGTCACCCCCAAGCTTGTGGCTCACCTCAGTCACACATCACACCCTCTGTGGTGTGTGGAAAAGGACAGCATCTTGACTCAGTTATTTCCAACTTCTGGAACTTAACTATTTCCTTACCCTTAAAATGGAGATGATGCTAGTCTCCCTTACAAGGTTATATGTAGTAAATGAAGCAGGCCTGCCTGGCGAGCAGCATCTGGTCCCTTTGAAGGCAGGGAAGACAGATGAATGGGCAACTGTGGCTCCTTTTTTGGTAATTTGGTGGAAACCTTGGCTAATCTGTGTTGACAAAATCTTTAGCACAGCAGGTGGTGCCCCTGTGGTGGACTGAGCAGAACTGAGCACTGGCAGGTGTGGTTGAGGTGGGGAGGGGGGTGTCAGCAGGTGGTAGTCACGCCCAGACTGCACAGCCCAGCCCCCCCCCCCGCCCCCCCCAGGGCTTCTGCATTCCTTCAAAATTCTCCTGTTCAAAGGCTGCCATTTTCTGGGCTTATGGCCTGAAGATTAGAGCGATCATTTTAGTTTTCCAGTTGTTGGCAGGGCCAGAGTCCCAGCAGCCTAAGCTAGCACTCAGAAGTCATTCTTACCCTTTCCTACACCAGCACTCTCTGAGGCCTCACCCTTCCACCTACCCAGTTCTCTTCATGCCCTTCTCCAAGTTCATGGTCAGGACTACCCTCAGTCCTGGTCTAGACTGCTGCTGCTCCCTCCCAACTGGCCTCTAACCTCTGGTCCTTTCCTCCCCCTATATCCTGCACAATAATAGAATGAAACTGCTCACTTCACTCTACCGTTACTAACTCAGTACAGTCTTCCCAATGCAATGAAAACAAAACCCAAACTTCTTACAATGGTACAGGAGGTCCCAAGCCTTGCCTACGTCTTCCCCTCTCTCCTCCCTTCCTTCCTTCCTCTCCTGTGTCAGTCTTCCTTCTTTTGCACATGCTGTTCCCTTTGCCTGGAAACCTTCTTCCCCAAAGTTGCCATCCTTTCAGCTCCTTCTTTACGTCTTAGCCTATTTGCCACTTCTTCTGTTAAGTCTTTCTGATTCCCAAAGGTGGGCAGAGATGCACCTTCTCTGGGATGCCACAGCAGCCTGTATTTCTCTGTCAAGTGCTTCCTTTACTTTGACTGTATATGGGCAGCGGCTTCACTGTTGAGCACCTAGCTCTGTGCCTGGGTACTCAAATATTTGCCAACTGATGGCAAATTATGCACAAACACAAAACAGAGTGGAAATTGAACCAGACATCCAAGAATTGCCTGTGGGGCTAAGGAGAGACTTGACCTGCTTTTCTGTCTGGGAGGAAATATTTGAACAACCTGAAGCAAATCCAGTAACACTGCCTCATTACCTTTCCCCCTAAGAGCTGCCAGCAAGATTGCTTTGGAGTTAAGTCCTTTAATTAAAATAACCCTGGACTAAAGCCTTGGAAGTGAAATGAGGGCAGTCACCGCCCTGCAGGCTGGGGGATGATGGCAGAGCTTGGATTTTCCCAGCAGGGTGGCCTGCCTAGGGAACAAAAACAGTCCCTTTTAGCTTCAGCTGATGGGCAGCTCACCTTAGCAGCCTGGAGGTGTATGACAGTGCTCTGGTTCCAGGCCTCGTGCTGGTCCGCCCCAGATTGCGTCAGGGTCTGCAAATGATGTACTGAATCTTTTGTGAGCCTGGAGACCAAAGAAAAAGAGGTTCAGCTTCCTGACTGCATGGAAGATGTAACTGATGGGCTCCCTGGGGTATCTTGGAAATAGAAATAATTCCTATTTATTGACCCCTTATGTGTCATAAAGCGAGATGCTTGATACTCATGATCTTTTTAACCCTTTTAAGGGCAGGCGCTCCCAATTTGCAATGAGGAAAATGGAGTCCAAGGGAGAGTGACTAACTTGTCCAGGGTCAGGATTTGGACTTGTTCTCAGTCACCATGTTGTAAAGCCTCAAGGCCATAGGCCAGAAGCTGTCCCCTCTTTCCAGTGCAGATTCTATCCAGATGTCACTGTTTTCTGGCCATTCTGTTTGCTGACTGCCTATGTGACCTGAACAAGGAGAATAGTTTTTCTTCAAAGGCTGTTAAGGCCTGTGGGTCACCTGCCTACTGCAAGTCCTACCCAAGGGACCTAAAAACAAAAACAACCCTGTTCTCCAAACCACTACATTAGTCATTTGCCACTTTATTAACCTTTAATCCCCTTTTATTTTCTATTCCCTGCCCATCCTCCCATGACCCTTGGAATTTGTGTGTAAAGCAAACTGTTTATGAGGCAATATTTATTTTCCTTCATCAGGGAATAGATAAGCAGATGTCACATTGAGTTCCAAGCAAAGTGAAATACTAATAACATGGCATTTTTAGTTACCCTGAGCAGCCTTATTTTTTCCTCTTCAACTCTCCCAACTAATCTAACTGGTTTATTGATAGATCCCTGGTGCCTACAACAGTGCCTAGCATGTTGTAGGCACTTGATAAATATTTTTAGAGTGAATAAATAAATAAATGCCTGAAATTGCTTTTGATCTTAAAATAACTATTATACCCCTCTGGGATCACAAGTTGGGATATAAGACCTCTCATGATATAGTGAAATATTTTTGTTATTCTAGTTTGTTTTTGGTGTTTTGATATGGGTCAGGGTTCAGGTTTCCTTCTTAGATAGTTAAATCTCTTTGTCCCAGGTGGCGCCTGTAGCTCAAGCGGCTAAGGCGCCAGCCACATACACCAGAGCTGGTGGGTTCGAATTCGGCCCCAGCCTGCCAAACAATGACAACTACAACCAAAAAATAGCCAGGTGTTGTGGCAGGTGCCTGTAGTCCCAGTTACTTGGGAGGCTGAGGCAAGAGAATCGCTTAAGCCCAGGAGTTGGAGGTTGCTGTGAGTTGTGACGCCACAGTACTCTACCCAGGGAGATAGCTTTAGGATCTGTCTCAAAAAAAAAAAAAATCTCTTTGCCCTTTCCTGGGTGCTGTTTGTGCCTGGCCTGACCTCTGTGCCTTCATTCCTATCCCCCAGCACATTTGGACATTCCTGACATACAGCAGGTGAATGACAGAACAGATGAGCCCTTGGTTTTTTTGTGTTCCCTAGAGCCTACCAGATCCTGGAAATAAATTCTTGGTGTAACCGTATTTTTGAAAATTACTTTTAATCTTATTTTTTTATTAATCAGGCCTGGGCTGGGTTTAAACCTGCCACCCCTGGTGCATAAGGCCAGTGCTCTAACCACTGGGCTATAGGTGGGTGCCCAGACTGAAAATTAGTTTTAGATTATATGATATTTTTTAAGCATATGAGAATTGCTTTATTAGCATTTGCATGTTGATACATCTGTAGTATTTACACATGGGTACACAGCTTGTATTATAAATCACCATGGGAACTGAAAGATTTTAAAAATTCCTTTTACTGGCTAGAAAGGTAATATCTTTCTACTGATATGATCAGGTTGGGGAAATAATGGTGGTCTATGGCTAATGGGACCTCCCTTTGTCCCCATTCCTGATGGCAGGAGCAGGGAGTTTAGAGGTGGGGTGATTTTTGAAGTGTATTCATGAATGTCCACCCAACAAATCCCACACGTCCTAGCATGGGAAGGAGCCTAGCCCCAGGTGGGATGGTTGATTTCTCAGTGGTGGCTTACCTGATTGCCACATGTGCCCAGGCTGTGGTGTAGAGCTCTGGGCAGAGGAAGTCGACTGGCCTCTGGGCTGGGCACCTGGACAGGTCAGTTGCAGTGAAATAGGCAACAGATGGGGGAAGAGACTTCTGTGGTGTGGATCCAGCAGACATCTGAGCCTGCAGATAGTTTTTCACCAGAAACCTGGGGTGGAGGTGGAGGCAGGTGAGAGGTGGAGGGCCCTGGGGGATAGCCTAGCACCCCTCACTCCCTGAGATAGGCACATATATCCTGGCTTCAGGCTTCACATGGGAGAGACCGCATCACCCAGGCCTCAGCCAGCCTCTTCCTGATGGGCACCCCTCAGTCCAGAGCCCCCCATGCCACCCTACTGCATGGGAGTTTCTGTGGAGCTGGGGCAGACATTCTCTGATCCCGATCATAAACCCTTTTGAGACCTGAGCAAATGGAATATTTTCTCTCAGGATCTCCTGATATGGGGATTTATGATGACTTACACAGTGACTGTGTGGAAATTGAATTTTCTTAGCTGAAAAGGGGTAGATGAAAGACTGCTAACACAAGTAGGAGGATTATAGGGGAATCTCAGCCGCTGCCTTACAATAATGCAGTGATTGTAGGATCTGGACTCAACCAAGCCCACATTCCCAAGCAACTTCCCAGACCTGTGTGATATTGTAGAAGTGTCAGTTTCAGTTTCTCCTTCTTTAGATGGGGGTGATAATTCTTACCTTATGGGGGGGAGTTGTGAAAACTGAATGAGATAATATTTGTGAAGTCCTTGGCACAGTGCTGGGCACCAAGTGCCTAATACATGCTATTGCATTCCTTTTGTAATTTGAGAAAAACCCGATAAATGTTATATATTTTTTAGAATCCAGTAAATGTTATACATCATATTTGCCAGTGAACTCCTTTCTCCCTGCATAGAGACATATTTGCCATGTTTAGTCATCTGAGAATAGGCTTTGTTAGCCTTGGGACCCAGCAAACATAAAAGGGATGAACGGAAACCACCTGTGTGGAGGTGGCTGACTTGGGCATCGCTTCCTGCATCTCCTGTGTGTGCAAGCTCTGTGCTGAGCCTGGGGAATGCTGCAGTGAGCAAGGCAGGTATGGCCCTGCCCTCAAGGAGCTCTTGGTCTAGTTAGGTAGCAGAGTTAAAAAGGTAAACCACAGAAAAGATGATTATAGATGGTGAAACTGCTCCAAGGAAACAAGGCAGTGTCACCTGGGAGGGAAACAAGTGCAAAAGGCCCTGTGGTGGGGAAGAAGCATGTGGTTGGCAGAGGAGAGCAGAGGCAGGAGGCTGTGACAGCAGGATAGCCAGGGAGGCAGGGAGCAGGTCATAAGGACCATGTAGACCACAATGTAGGATGTGGCATTTTCCTGCAAGTAGTAGGAAGCCACTGAAGAATTTTAAGCAAGAGAAAGATATGATTTCTAGGCTTTGAAAAGCTCCCTCTGGCTGCCTGGGGAGAAGTTGGGCAGGGTAGCAACAGGAGACCAGCCTGAGGCTGCTGTCCAGGTTAGAGCTGGCTGGGAGCTGCAGTGGGTCTGAGAAGAGAGTGGAAGAGAAATTTTTACTGTGGGAATTGGACAGTCTCCAAATGCTGCTTCCCAGAACCTGCTCCCCTTGTGGGCATCAGCCAGAAGCTTCCACCCAAGCAGAAACATGGCATGTCCTGAGGTGCTGGGCAGAGGCCTGCGCTCGTCTGGACCTTACCTGGCCACCTGCAGGTACAGCACTGTGTTCTCACCCTCGTAGGTGCAGGAGGCTGACACTTTGGTGACTAGTGATGGCAGGCCACTCAGCTTTGAGTATCCGTGTCCGCCACAGGCTCTGCAGCATATCTCTGCTCCCTGGGTACAGAAGTCTGCCATCATGGCCTTTGCACCTGTGCTCAGTGAGTGGAGCTGTGAGAACAGGAAGAGGGGCCAGGTGACGTAAGGGGGCCCTGCCCTGTGGTAACAACCTCACTTCTCGCTTGCTGAGCATTTACCGCATGCTAAGTACAACTCTGCAAGGGAAGAAGTGTTTCTCAGTTCACACCTTTATGAATGAGAAGGCTGAGACTCGAAGGAGTTGATGTGACTCACCCAAAGAAACACAATTAGGCGATATAGCTGTAGGAGCAATAACAACAAAGGAAAACCTGGCCAGGCCAGTGTCTCCAGGATCTTGGGAAGAGATGCTACCTGGATTGGGCCCACCATCCTCCAGGAGTTATGGATTTTGCTGGCAAGGAGGGATTTTAGAAAGCTAGCCTGTGAGGATGGGTGTCCACTGTCAACCCACTTTCTGGGTTGTAGGAGGGTGCTGTGGTCTGAGTATGTCTGCCCAAAAGTCACATGTTGAAATACTACCCCCCACCCCCAAGTGGTATAAGGAGGTGGTGGGGACCTTTGAGAGGTGATTAAGACATGAGAGTGGAGCCCTCATGCATGGGACTAGTGCACTTATGAAAGAGGTCTAAGACAGACTCTTCATCCCTCCTATTATGTGAGGACACAGTGAAAAGTCACAATCCATGAACCAGAAAGCCAGCCCCCACCAGCACTGAATCTGCTGGTGCTTGATCCTGGACTTTCCAGCCTCTAGAAATATGAGAAATAAATTCCTATTCTTTATAAGCCACCAGTTTATGGTATTTTGTTATAGTAGCCCCAGCAGAGGACTGCCAGGCAGCAGGCCTGACTTGAGTTTTCAGTTCTTGGAAGCCTCTTTTGAACTTTCAAGTTCTTGAGAGGAAGGTTGTGCCCTTTCCTGCTCTGTGCCTCAGTTTCCTCTTCTGTAAAACAGGACATAAATAGCACCTTCTAATGAAGCAATGCACAGTGGCAGGACAGATGAATCTGCAAGTATATGTAATTCCCCAGTGCTTTATCTGAGACTGAACAGATTTTGAATTTTAGAGAGGTAAAACAGGCATTTAAGGTATATTGTACATGATACTGCCAGTGGGGTTGAGGCAGCCTTAGTAATTAAACACATTAATAATTTTGCTACAAAATGTATTCATACTGAGTGGGACAAGTCAGTTCAGATCTGTGCCCCTGAATGAATTCTAAACAACTTTCAGCTTTCAGGGCTTTTTATGTTTTAGCTGCACATTAGGGATCATGGACATGTAGTCTCTATAGATTATTTCTTCTGACATTTTTGTAGCTCTCCCTGTGGGCCAGGTGTGAGTAAATTTGTCTATCAGGGTACAGTAGTTTAACCTGATGCTCTGGGATGTTGGGAGGCAGGGGGATGTGGGAGGTGGGAAGGGCCCACGGGATCAGGGCTGTGGTGCTTCCCAGCCAGCACAACGACCTCAGCTGCGGCCCCAGCGCCTGTCCCTCAGCAGACAGCAGGTACCTCAGGCAGGAGGCTGAAGTCTTTGTCCAGAATGGCACTGTAGGAGTGCTCCAAGAATTCCAAAATGCTGACTGCCAGGAAATGGAAGGCATAGCTCATGGCCAACTGAGGAAAGAGTTTCTGTTGCTGTGTCTGGTAGTCCAGGACTTTTGCTTCCGGGCCACTGAGGGGAAAAGAAGCTGAAGATGAGAAAATTGCTACTTGCCACGCCCATCTTCCCATTTCCCCAGCACCATAAAAGCCTTAAAGACAGACAGTTCTACAACTCTTTTGTAAGACTTGACCTGAACTGACATGAGGCTATTAATAACCTGTAAAAATCTCATCTAACATGACAATTTACACAGTGCATAGCAGAAATATGGACATGTTTATGGGTACTAGCCCCGGTGGAGGGAGGTTTACAGAATTCCAGCGTAAACACTGCATTATCCTAAAATCAGAAAAGATCTGAATTCCAATACATCTGATCCCAAGGACTTCAGGCGAAGAGTGGTGGCCCTGCACCCCTGATTATTTGAGCCTGTGACCTCTCCCTGCCCACGTGCTGAGAAATATGTGGAGCCTCCACAATAACTCTTAGGACGTAAACTCGGGTATGGCAGAATCCCGAGGAAGGGACGATGTCTGGCAGAGATGAGCCTGCAGCACAGAGGGGCCCAAAGTAACTGGGGATTGAAAGAGGGTGTGATTATGAGAAGCCTCCCATAGCTGCCAGCAGCCTGGGGCTCCTCTCTGAGGCAGCAAGTCCTTACCCAACACGACCTTCTTATACCATCCTGGGAACACTTGTGCAACCCTGGTAAATGGGCTGTGGGCAGGATATAGCAGCAGCACCTTCTCCCCAGCAGCCCTGTCCTCCAAAGACCTCCCCAGCCTGAAGTCTGAAGCTCAAGTTGAGAGTGCCATAGGTTTGCCAGAGGAAAGTCTCCTGGGCTGAAGGCCAGGTACACCTTACTGGATTTCACCCTCAACACCTGAGAAGCCACTCCTGCCATAGATGAGGAAGCTGAGGGACAAAAAGGTAAAGTGGCCAAGCTGTGAGGCACCCAGGCTTACCTGGCTTCCCTCAGTCCACTCTGTATCAGGCTCATTCTGGACCCTTGAACCCACAGCATGAGGACCCCAGGCTCTTGGGCCAGATGTTCTCAAGTTCTAGTTCTGCCAATCTTACCCTTTACAGGTGAGGCCCAGAGAGGGCAAAGGATTGGCCAGGGCTGGTCAGCAGAGTTGGGATGAGAGTGGTCAGGTTAAAGCCTGGTCCTTAGCAATGCAAGTTCAGTTATGCTATGGCCAGTTCTACTCTCTAATCCTATTCTCACCCCATTGTGTTGCATCCTAGGGGGAGGGTATCTTTATTATAAAACATTATTCATTGTTTACCTGAAATTCAACTTTAACTGAGTGTCCTATATTTGGAAACCCTGTGTGTGTGTGTGCGCGCACACGTGTGCACATGTAAGTGCATAGGTTAAAACAGAGGGTATGGTCAGCCCTTGCTGGTCTATGCCATGGAGTAGAGGAAGTGACAGGCAGACACAACCAAACATAGCAGAAGGGATCCAGTCTTAGACATACCACTGTCAGGAGCTGATCGTTATAGCCAGACAGAATGAGCCCCGCCACATACAGTCTGATGTGAGAGTTGGGCTTTGCCAGACACAGCTGGACACCCAGCTGACCCAGACTCACAGTCTCAGGGCCAAAGACATGAGCACACAGAGTCTGGCTGGGCCAGCCCATTGGTCGGGTTAGACAGAGCCAGAGAGACCCCACCGATGTGCCCAGATAGGGCCAGATCCAGGGAAATTATGTGAGTGGGGGAGGTGGGGGAGAAAATGCCTGCTCCTAGCACCCCAGCAGTGTCAAGGGCAGGCACAGTGCGACTGAGAGGCAGCCTCATCTGTTGTGCTCAGCCTCTGGGTACTCCTTGCCTGGGCCGGAGCCTGGATTGGCGACGTATGACCGAGTAGCGTATGGCAATGACACAAGCCTTCTGCATCAAGGGCAGGATCTCGCCTAATAGCAGTTTCACCCGAGTCACCACCATGGAAAGATAGTTGCTCTTTGCTGTCCCAAGCTTGATGTAGGTGCCATCTGGCAAGACCTGTGTGGAACAAGGATGGGCATGGGGTCTGAGCCAAGACCCTCCAGCCTGCCCCATCCCCAGAACTGTGGGTCTGTGCACCTGGTGGGTGCTACGCTCCTCAACCTGCTCCCCTAGAGCAGAAAGCTGGTTGGCAGCCAGGATGTTAAAGGACAGATGCTTCTGTGCTTGTTGTAACTAGCCACTCACCCAAGTGGCCTGGTTCAAAGGTCCTCTTCTGGGACACCTTGGACTTCCTCATCCACAACTAAAGGGGAAATACCCTTCAGAACTGTGCCAGCATGCTGGCTGGTGTCTGCTTAGTGACTGGTTGTATCTAATCCTCACTGTGGGTAAATACGCCTCAGTCCTGTCCCTGTCTCTGTCCCCTCCACGATTGTTCCATCATCCACATCATGAGCATCTACATGTGGGAAGTCTGAGGCTTAGAGAGGTGAAATGACTTGCCCAAGATCACACTGCCTCTAAGCTGGCGTTTGATCCCAGTCTATGGGACACCAGAGCCTCTTTGGGTGGAGGTATGTCCCAAACTCAGCTCTGTGGAAGAGGACCCAGAGCAATCTGCACAAAGCGTGGGTGCCCCGCCTCCCTAGGCCCCTGACCTGTGCAAAGCGACTGAGCATGTTCTCCCTAGGGACTCGCACATGGTCCAGTCGCAGGAAGCCATTGTCTGTTTGATCAAAGTTCATCTTGGGCCCGATGTCCCCAACGGTGATTCCTAGAAGGAGATGCAGTTAAGAATACCCATCAGTTGAGTGCTTGCTATATGGCAGGTGTCACAAATGCCTTCTAGCTCACAGCAGCCTATGACACTGGGGATATTACACCTGTTTTGCAGGTAAGCAAGCTGAGGCCAGGAAGACTGTGATTCTTACTCAAGGTCACCAGCCAGTTAGCATGAAGTCTGTCCAAGTGGACCCCTCCCTGCCCAAGGAAGAGACATGTCTCAGCTTCTCTTGTGGACCTCTGGGGCCCTAAGACAAGGAGTCCTGGTAGGGCCTCCTCCCAGTAGGGGCCCATAAGGAGCAGCAGGGGCTTACCTGGCAGTGGGGTATGGTCCTGAAGGCTCCGGATGGGCACAATGAAGGCATGCATGCCTTGCCGGGCTCCTGAACAGATCAGCTGGGCAAGTACCAGGGCGTGTGTGGCTGACCGTCCCACTGAGAGGAGAAAGATGAGCGGCCCATCACAGGAAGACCTGTGTATCACTGCCTCCCCACCCAGCTTCCTGGGACTGAGGTTGCTGATGGGGTCTTGAAAAGTCACTGATCACAGAGAGTGGGGATGGCCCCTGAAGAACCAAGCAGACCTAGCAGTGACTTTGCAAAGGCACTGTGAAAAGAACGAGACTTTTTTTGTGCACCCCAAAACCACCAATGAACCACTGTCATCAACCTCCCAGTCCAGGTGGTGTCAGACTCTATAATGATGCTTTCCAGTTCTTGCAGGGCAGGTTTGAGGAATCCCATTTCCCAATAAGGAAACTAAGGCTCGGAGTGAAGTGACACCTTGAAGGTCACTGGCCTGAGGGGGCAGACCTGGGATTTGAAACCTGGTCCATCTGATCTTAAAGGCTGGTTTCTTTTCTCTGTAGTTTTAGAAGTGGTTATTCTCTCTCTCATTTCTCTTACCTGACTCAATCTCCCCCTCTCTGTATCTCTGCTCTCTGTCACTCCCCTGCTTTCGCTGGATGCCTCACTTTCATTTTATTCATTTTTTTTGACACAAGGCATTTACCAGCTGGGTCCCCGAGTGCCACAGATATGTCCTCAGAGGTGAATTCTCAAGTCTGAGGAAGGGGGATACCCTCCTTGGGGCTTGGCAAATGACTGTGGGGAGGGTCTGGGACTAGGTGAAGTGTGTGTGTGTACATGTGTTATGTACATGCACATGTGTGTCTGTATAGAAGCAGCATGCATGTGTGTGAGTGTGAGGGTTTGTCCCTCATGACCCCAAATTTAGGTCTATTTCCTCCTCTCCTTCAAGGTTCCCTTGGGGACCTCCCAGCTATTCACTAAGAAAATTCTTAATACTCTACTTATTTAACAGAGTAAGAACCTGAGGCTCAGGGAGGTGAACTGATTTGTCCAAGGTCACCAGCATAGAATAGGAAACCAATCTGAGGTCTGCTGGACATCAAACCCAGTGCTACTTTGCCCTCCAACTTGGAGAGAGATAAGGAGGAGGGGTGGATACTCACGGTCTCCAGGCCACCATTTGGTGGCAGTCATTGTGGGGCTATGTATCACAAACTCCTGGGTGGCTGTGTCATAGGTGGCTTCAGTCTCCAGGCCCTGAAGGTATGTCCCTTGGGATTAAGAAGAGGAGTTAGACATTGGATGAAGCAGGGTTCTTACCTGGGAAGCAGCTTCAGGGGTCCTGGAACTCTCAGGCACAAGCCCAGTATGGAGCAGGGGGGTGGCTCCTAGCTGTACTTGCAGGGACTTCTCTCCTTTCTTCTGTGTGCTGTGTGTGGGATATGCAATCCCCTGTGGCCAGTCCATGACAAGGGATAGATGCTGATGTTTTCAGAAGGAAGGACTTGCTTCATGGGTAGCTCATGCAATGTTTGTGCAAATTAGAAAAAAACCCTTGACTGCCATCTACTGGAAATGTCCATATTAAATATATAAATCTATGACTACTGAAATGTCAATGGGTCCTCTGGAGTTGTATAGGTCCTCCAACCTAAAAACTGCACGTAACAGCCTGGACTCACCATGTCCCAGTTCTGTCTGGGCATATGTTGTGATGATCTGGAATGTTTTGCAGAGTGGCTCCCATTTGGCAATCTGTTCCTCCGAGCCCAGGCTCGTGAGGGCTGTCAAGAAGACTCGGTGCAAATTTAGTGCCAAGTCTCCAGAAAGAGCACTGTGGGGATAGATGCTGTGATTGAGTATCCTGTTGGAGACAGGGGCCCAGGGACCCTCAGCCTGGGTAGAGTACAGGAGGGAAGGGGCATCTGGCATCCTGCTTTCCCAACAAGTACTGCCTTTGTGGGTGGAGGGAGGAATGGCACATGGGGTGGGGTGAGAGGAAGGTTCCAGGTGATCCTAGGTAGATTCCTCTATAGTGGGGCTGCCCCAGGAGCAAATACCTGTAAGCATAGTTTACTTCCTTTTCTGACCAGCCCAGTCTCTGAGATGTCATGTGCAGGTGGACCGTCTTCCGCATGGCGCCCTCATAGCGTTCATTCTGGGTCATGAAATAATTGTCCTTACAGGTAAACACTGGGTCACTGCAGATGATGCTCTCTGCAGGAGATGGAGAACAGAGGGCTTAGGGACCTAGGTGAGGTTTATGGCACGTTCAGATCTTCCCACTCACTTGCCTGGAAAGAAAATCAGACGGTATTGTCATTTTACAGATGAGATCACTGAGGACCAGAGGTGGGAAAGTGACTTGCCCGAGGTTATAAAGCTATGCCATGGGAGAATTTTAGGATGAGTATCCAGGTCTTCTGTTACCTGGGACTCTTCTATCCATCAGATGAGTTCAGGGAACAAAAGTATGTTAAGAATACCATTACCATTCAAAGGAATGAATCTCTAACAGTGGGATTTCAAAGGTAAAATTTATTTGAAGGTAGGACTGCTAATGAAGGACTCTTCTTCCAAGAAAAGAAGGGGCATAAAGCGGATTCTCCATCCTCAGCTTGCCCTTACCAACGTTCCTCCGGAGTGCAGTGTTCTGGGCACCTTCATCAAGGATGTTGGTGAGCCGTTCCACGTCGAAGGACTGCCCATGCCTCTCGCCGTCTATGTCAGCGTGCACACGCCTGCTCCAGGTGTCCCCTAGTGACACTCGGTGCACGGGGCTGCCCATCCTATCCTGGGTCTGCCTGGCAACTGAAAAGAGACACTGGTGGCTCTGCTGTTCTGAAGGTCTGCTCTGAGCATGGGCAGTGCAAAGAACCTGTGTGTGAGAGGAACTGCCCCCAGCTAGGTGTCAGCCAGGGGCTGTGTGGTGGAGAAAAGCCACCTGAGTGTCACTCTAATTCTGCACTTTCCCTGTGGACATAGGCTGTGGGCCAGGCACTGTGCACATCCTTGGCTACAATTCAGGTCACTGTGGCCTCTTCCCTGGCTTTTATGCCCCTCTTATCTGCTCTCCCAGCTGCCAGCGTGAGCTCTGGATTTGCAGATCGTTTTCCTTGCCTTCTTGAACTTTGCTCCTTGGTGCCCTCTGTTTGTGTAACAGAGCCCGCCTGCCCCCTCCAATAGCAGCTGATCCTCCATCCTGGGGCCTCCACTCACTCTCCTCCTGCCCTTTGTCCTTGGGTTCCCTCTGGCCAAGGCTGGCCTCCCTGGTGTTCCTAGTGAGCCTCAGCTTCCAGGGATCCCTTCACCATGAAGCCCTCCTGATGACAGTGCCCTAGGAGAGGTCAGCACTCCTTTGGTGCCCCCACTGACATGTCCCTGCCCCAAGACTGGATGCTAGGCGGCCACTCTTTCAATTTCCCTTTTTCCTCACCTCAACCCTATGATGATGCACCATGGCTCTTAGCATTTTATAGAGAGGATGTGTGCCTTAGGAAGGTCCTGCAGACACATATAGCAGGTAGGGTTCTATTGAGGCTTCCAAGCCAGTACCGTGGGGTGTTGGCAAGGAACCTGGCAGGTCCCAGGAGGCCCACTGTCTGCCCCTGGATCCCTGCAGGCCCATCTCACCAGCTGCTCATTTGTGCCCCTCTCTCTACCCCTTGCTCTCCCCACTCCACCTGCCCCTTCCTCCTTGCTGTTCCCAAACACGTTTGCACCCTTGCCCAGAACACGGTTTCCTCAGAGGTCACCACAGCTCCCTGTGTCCCACCTCAAGGTCACCTCCCCCTGAGGCCCACCTCTTAGTGACCACCCTTTTTAAAGTCCCAAGCCCTCTTCCTGGGTCTTCTCAGTCCCCTTCACTCTGCTGGACTTTTCATGGATCACCTAAGATAGAGATAATTTACTCCTTAAATATGTTTTTGTTTACTGCTGTCTCCCCACTCCCTACCAAAACATAAACTAAAAAGGGCCTTATCTCTGTCTCTGTCACACTGTGGCCCTAACTCTCAGTGCAGGGACTGCCTAGCAGGGTGCCCAGCAAGGAAGCAGTGTTCAGTCAGCAGGAGCTGTGCTGGGGTCATTCTTGGGGAAGGCCAGGCCTTGGGGATCTCCCAGTCTCTCCCCTGCCCTCGGCCTGGCTCTCCTGACTCACCTTTGTCCTGTGCCCGCACTGTAGGCCTGGCCTGGCCTCTCCGTGGCTGCCGACTTAAGCCTCTGGCAGGCTGGGGGCCGGGCCCTTCTCTCCTCCCACCGAGAGGCTGAACCCCGGAAGTCCAAGGGCATCGCCCGCTGCCAGCAGTCGGCCCACGTGGCTGGGCTCGCTGAGTTTCTCTCCTTGCCCCTTCCTCCCCGGGAGGGTGTGCTGTGGTGAGCCAGGGCTGCCCCGGGACGATTGCTATGAGCCTGAAGCCTGTCAGTCTCACAGCCAGGGATTCCTTTGAGACCACTTGTGCCAAAAACGGTGTATCCCAACTGTTTCCAAAGGGAAAGCCCGGGTCTTTGCCGCCTTTCCTGATCTTTCATCAAGTGCCGTTCGGGAACTCAAGCTGTTAACACCAGGCGAGCTTAATAGGTTCCCCTCAGGTGGTCTTTGTGTGAAAGGATCACTCTGTCAGGTGAATGATTTTCCTCTCCGCTTGTTTCCGATTTGAAATTTGGCTTGTCTTATGCTTAGCATTCCCTGGACAAATATTTGTGGGGTACCTGCAGGGTGTGCTGGGTGGGACCCAGAGGGGAACCCACGCATCTCTACCAGTTGGACAAAGTGCTTAGAGGTTCCCTATCTTCATTCATAACGCCCTGGAAAGAAGGATGCACCCCTTATTTTTCAGGTACAGATACAAGCTCAGGTTTGTGCAATTAATAGATTACGGGAGCTGGGATTTGAACCAGGTTCCTCAGGACAAAGACTGGTTGATTTTTCACCCTTTAAGACTGGGAAAGAAATCAATACACACCCACAGATGAGTAGCAGACTGAGCCTCCTGTTCTGGCAGGTTTCTTGAGAACTGGTGACCCTGAGCAGAGGTGTCCTCTCCTCCTGGTCTTTGGCCACCCACCTGTGATACAGGACATTTTGCTCACAAAGGGGCCTAACCACTTCCCACGTATCCTCAAGGTGGTGTCCAGCTCGTGTCTGCAGGAAGTGGCAGAACCTGTGTCACAGCCTTGAGGATGATCACCTTGTATGTCCTGCTGGGAGAGTGGGGGTTGGATCCTGGCAGTCTCCATTGCTGTGGGTGGTGGGTTCAGGGAAGGTGGCCTTGAACTCAGTGTTTGGAAGTGAAAGTTCTGACTTCCAGTCTAGCTCTGCCAAGGATTTGGGTTATCACTAATGGTGGGCAATTATTTACTTCCTCTCTCCTATAGTTTCCACATCTTCTAATATTAAACTCCCCATGTTTAAACTGTTTCTTCACCAACTTCAGAGCTGACCCTGCTCTGTATGTTTTGACCGTGATCATTTTAATTTGTTACACTGAACTATTGAGTTTTCTAGCTTAAAAAGGCTTTTTTACTATGTAAAATTTCAAAACTGTACAAAAGTAGAGAAAAAATAATGTAACCACATGTATCTAACAATTATCATTACACATCTTGTTTTTTTGATTCTAACTTTTTATCTTGAAATAATTTTTAACTTTTAGAAAGTTGCAGCTCGGCGCCTATGGCTCAACAGGCTAAGGCGCCAGCCACGTACACCTAAGGTGACGGGTTCGAATCCCCAGCCAGGACCCGCCAAACAACAATGGTGGCTGCAATCAAAAAATGGCCAAGTGTTGTGGCGGGCACCTGTAGTCCCAGCTACTTGGGAGGCTGAGGCAGGAGACTTGCTTGAGCCCAGGAGTTGAGGTTGCTGTGAGCTGTAATGCTACGGCACTCTACCCAGGGGGACAGCTTGAGGCTCTGTCTCAAAAAAAAAAAAAAAAGAAAGTTGCAAAGTTCTTGTATTTACTTCATTCAGCTTCCTCTAATGTTAGTATGGTACATGGTACAACTCTGAAATGAAAAACAGTAACACAGTTACAACACTACTATGTAATGTTCAGAACTTATTTGTGTCAGAAGTTCCCCAAGATCAACCTCAGGTTTAATGATTTTCTAGAAAGGCCCACAGAACTCAGAAACTGTTATACTTGTTGCTGCCCAGGGAGGTTCATTTGCCAGCTGCCTAAGAGGAAGTCAATATGGGAAGACAGCAGGATTTACAGCGGAGAAAAAACTTAATTCTGCATAGCACTAAGTGCGGAGATGGGAGGAATGTCTCAAATCTGCCTCCCAGAGAATTTTGAAGGATAGTTTGGAGGGCCAAGGATTAGGCAGTTAGGTTTGCTAATTGACTGGGTTTAGGTGGGAACCATCAGTTCCACACCAGTGCACTGGTAGAGGGGCAGGGTCGTGGAAGACAGGTTCGTAGTGTAGTTCAGGCCAGGCATTTCTGGAGGGGTTGTTGACCAGAATCCAAGTTTCTCAACCCCCTCAAGGCTAGCAATAGCCTGGTGGTCTACACAGGATATCTGGTACCCAGCAGGCTCAGGGCTAGGTTTCTGAGGGACCTGTTGATCACAATCCAGGATCCCAGGCACTCCCTTTCAGGTCTCGCAACTGCCCTCTTATAACCTGGTGGCTGAGAACAGAATGCATAGCAACCAAAGATTACTATCACCTGAGTCCCACCCAGGCATAGACAGAAATCATTGAAGCGAGTTAGGCAAGTTTAAGAGTCTCATCTGTTGCCCTGGGTAGAGTGCTGTGGTGTCACAGCTCATAGCAACTTCAAACTCTTGGGCTTAAGTGATTGTCTTGCCTCAGCCTCCCGTGTAGCTGGGACTACAGGCACCCACCTCAATACCCAGCTATTTTTATTTTCTTTTATTTTTTTGTTGCAGTTGTCATTGTTGTTTTAGCTGGCCCAGGCTGGATTCAAACCCTCCAGCCTCAGTGTATGTGGCTGGAGCCCTGCACACTGAGCTACGGGCTCCGCCCTATCCTCAATTTTTAAAGTGTAAGTTGTAATCACATGGTGTGCCTGCTTGATTTTCTCTCCTTTGTTTCCCTTCTTCTGACTGTTAATGATTACTTGAGGCACCTTGCTTTGAATAACTCCAACTAAGTTTATGCATTATGCTGTCAACGTAATGTGTGATTTTTGATTGAATAAAGAGACCTATGGAAGAATGGCCAGTGCTGCACTTACTGGCTGTCCTTGAGATGCTGGTGCTCGCAGGCTCCCATTGGTTATGTCACCTGAGATAACTGACTCTGAGTTTTTTCTCACATCAAATTCCCTCAGTGCAGATCCTGGCAAATGTCGTGGGGACCCAGGCCCCCACAGGGGTCAGCCAATTTGCTGGAAGTCAGGATCAGGATCTCAGGTGGGGGTCATAAGACCAGTTAACTTAGTTTCTTAGTGTAGGCCACCAGTTTGGGTGGGTCAGCCAATCCACCAATGTAGCCTCCAGCTCCTCTACAGGTCAAACTGATACAGTGTAGCCTGAGGACCTACTATACATCACATTGCTAGTATAAACTGCCTGACATGGCCCAAGGCTCCAGGTATACAAAGATGCTCTTTTCAGGTAGGATATTTTAAGAGCTTATATACACAGAGTGTAACTCCCAGGAGCTGTCAAAGGCCAGTCCTTTCTTTGGAACATGCAGAGTTTCAAACATTGCTGAGTTTTGTTAACTGGTTATTCACAGATCCTATTTCTTTCTTCCTCTCTTACTGTCTTACTTTGTGATTGGATAACTTTCTATAGTGGTATGCTTTGATTTCTTTTCATCTTTTGGGTATTTACTACCAGGCTTTTGTCTGTGGTTATCATGAGGTTTACATAAAATATATTAATAGTTATAACCAGCTATTTTAAGCTAATAGCTTAACTTCAATCACAGAAGATATTTTTACTATTCTCTCAACATTTTATGTGTTTTAAAAACTTTATTTTTGTTAAAAAATTTATTGATACACAACAGTTGTACATATTTGGGGGGATACATGTGATATTTTGATACACCCATATACTGTGTAATACTCAAGCCAAGGCAATTGAAATGTCTGTCACCTCAAACATGTATCTTTCCTCATTGTTGGGAAGATTTCAATTGTCCTCTTCTAGCTTTTTTTTTTTTTGAGACAGAGTCTTACTCTGTTACCCTGGGTAGAGTGCCATGGTGGTCATCATAGCTTGCAGCAACCTTAAACTCTTGAGTTCAAGAGATTCTCCTGCCTCAGCCTTCTGAGTAGTTGGTACTATAGGCACCCGTTACAATGCCCAGCTATTTTTTTTTTTCTATTTTTAGTAGAGATGGGGTTTCATTCTTGCTCAGGCAGCTGGTCTTGAACTCCTGAACTTAAGCAATCCATCCACCTCAGCCTCCCAAAATGCTAGGATTACACCATCCTGGGCTTCTTCTAGCTATTTTGAACTATACAATACATTATTGCTAGCTAGAGTCATCCTACTGTACTATCCAACATTAGATTTTCTTTCTTTTAACTATATTTTCATACCCATTATCCAACATCTCCTCCCCCACCCCACCCAGCCTTTGTTAACCACAAATCAACTTTCTACCCCCATTAAATCCACTGTTATAGCTCCCACAAATGAGTAAGAACATGCTATATTTGTCTTTCTGTGACTGGCTTATTTTGCTTACCTTAATGACTTCTGGTTGCACTCATGTTGCTGCAAACAACAAGATTTCATTTCTTTTATGGCTGAATGCTATTCCATTGCTTATATGTACCACATTTTCTATATCCATTGATCCAGTGGTGGGTATTTATGTTGATTCCATAGCTCAGTGGTTAAGGCACTGGCCACATAGACCGGGGCTGGCAGGTTTAAACCCAGCCAGGGCCTGCTAAACAACAATGACAAGTACAACAACAACAACAACAACAACAACAACAAAATAGCTAGGCATTGTGGCTGGTGCCTATAGTCCCAGCTACTTGGGAGGCTGAGGCAAGAGAATCACTTAAGCTCAAGAGTTTCAGATTGCCGTGAGCTGTGATAGTATAGCACTCTACCAAGGGTGACATAGTAAGACTCTGTCTCAAAAAAAAAATAAATTATTTCAATCTCTTTGTTAAATTTCTCTGATAAATTTCTAATTGTTCCTCT